ACACACGCACACGCACGTCGATGTCCGCACCACCTCAGGTCGGCTCGGTCGATGAGTCAGTGTGGCCGTCAGAGTATTTGGTTCCTGAGGTCCTCGAGTTTCTTGATGATATCGGCCGGCACTTTGTCGAGCTCAGCGGCGATCTCCTCCTGCTTGGCCGGCGGCAGCGACAGGTACTGCTCACACAAATCGCCGTCGACCACATTCTGCCGTGTGGACACACGCAGAACACAATGAGAGATGCGTGTGTGTGTCGTGTCATTTAGTGGGCTGGTGGGCTGGCCTCACTTTGACAGGTGTGTAGTATGATCTGAACATGATGTGGTCTCTGCCGCACAGCGGGGGCTTCTCCTGACGCAGGTGCAGCTCCAAGTGCTGAAAGAAGTCAACCTGGTCGGTCGGTCGAATCGAACCGACATGGACACACACATACACAGCCATCCAATGGCATCCATCCATCCACTGCACTGTGTGTGCCTACGTCTTCCCGCGTGACGAGTGGTGTGAGTGCGCCGATGGAGCCCATGATGGTGGCGTAGACGATGACCTCCTTGGTGGCCGACGACAGCCGACACCGCTGCAGACTCATGACCGTCTCGCCCACGTGATACGCACACTGAGTCTCAAACTGACCGCACACACACACACACACACACACATTCAGCCATGAAGGCAGGCACCCCACTGCACTGCAGTGACCGACCTTGTGGCAGGATCCGGTGACATATGCGGTGTCGCCTTTGACTTTGAGAGTGGTGCCGCCGGCGGTGCCGGTGATGTCCTGCAGCTCGTCTTCGGAGGCCTCCTCGGGCACCCTGGCCACGTAGAAGGAGTCGAACTTATCGCCCATGACGACCGTCCTGTAGTCGACCACCTCGCCGCACGTCAGGTACCGCGGCACCACGTCGTCACACAGCACGTATAACGAATTGTCCGCACCCCTAATTGTCAGATCACAGAGAGAAGGAAGCCACATGTGCGCATCATGAGTCTCTCTCCTCTGCAGTGCACTCCACACCCCAACCAACAGACCTGTACTTGAGCACGTGGACGGAATCCTGCATGTCGCCGAGGAATATGCGGTCGCCGACCACCTTGATCCAGCTGATGCCCATCGGCAGATTCTGCACACACACGACAACACACACGACACACAAACACGACACACATACAAAAAGGATTGACAGGTGTGTCCACGGATTCCTTGATGTGGCCTGCCTGCGCTCATCAGCCGCCTGAGGAGACGCATACCCACCTTGTATTCGCATTTCCTGAGGAGCCGTTTCCGTCCGAGTGAGTAGACCCTGAGGTGGTTGCCGACGCCCACCAGCAGGCGGCCGTGGAACGGACAGAAGCAGGTCGGGTGCTCCTCGCAAGGCGTCTGCCATCCGTCCACGCCCACAGCCACAGCCACACACGTGGTCCGATCCACAACCTGGCTGCCTGCCTGTCCTCTGTCTGTCTGTCTGTCTGTGTGTCTGCAGGTCTTTCTTTCCCCACCGTGTGTACGAGCTCGAGCTGGTACTGCTCGTTGTAGCTGTAGACCTTGATGGCCGCACGGGGCACCTGACGACCACACGAGCATTCAGGTGGACGGCTGACTGGCTGACGTGTGTGTGGCACGCACATCACATCGCATCCCATACACACACACCTTCCTGGGCCTGATGGTCATGCCGTAGACGATGCCAACGACCAGGCAGGGCGCCACGGCCTCCTCAAACTGAACCACCGCGCAACTGCAGACACGCACCGCATGAACCCAGCCACACGGATGGATAGCCATCGACACACGCACCCCACCCACATATATCAGGGGACAGACAGAGGCTCACAACACTACCCACCTGAGCGCCGCCTCGTCCACGTCGAGGTCCAGCTTGCAGCAGACGGTGTTCTGAGAGAAAGAGAAAGAGAGAGAGGGAGAGAGGGGGCATGGTGCTCATCCATCCAAATGCCAAATGTCTGTGTGTGTTGTGTCTTTATGAGGTCAAGTAAGTCACCTGCACTGGGTCGATGACGCGTATGCACGACCCCCACTTGCCCTCGCCGGCGCGGAACATCCCCACCTGAGTCTCGGGCAAATCCTGCACACACACAGAGAAGAGAGAGACAGCCGAAGTGATGCGGCGGTATGTGTGTGGTTGTGGTGTGTGCGAATGATGAAATGTGCTGACCTCTTCTTCCTTCCTGACGACATCCTCCGTCTTGATCTCCGGCTTGCCAGGCTGACCAACACAAGACACACACATGGGC